TAAGCATTATTTCTAAATGCCATATCTTAGTTGAGATTTGAAGAAATACTGTTATCACTTAGAAGAATGTTTTAAAACTTATCAAATTTATCTCTACATGCTGAAATAATAATTTTTTTGGGCTCAGTGTCAGCCATTTTCTTGTTTGCCAATGATCTGTGACTGAATGAAGGGATAAGGCATTCTAATTAACAGTTATAGAATGACTAAGAAATTTTACCAACAGCTTGACCTTTTTTATTTAAAAGTTTGAGGAGTTTATTGAAAAGGTAAGCCTTCTGGGTTTACAAGTATCTTTTTAATTTGAAGTTTTAACACTTTGTTTATAAGACTGTAGTTAGACATTAGAGCTGGACATTTTCATTGGGTGTTGCATGTTTGATAAAACCATATAAACTCTTGCACAGTCTTTGTCTTGTTAGAATGCATTTCAAATTAAGTCAACATTGACTGATTAGAGTTAACATTTTTCTTTGTTGTCATTATTTACAGTTAGAGGTGCATCATTTAAACTTGAATATGCCTCTTTATTTCTTACCTCAGCATTCTTATAAAAATGTGTCTCATTTTAAAAGTAATTTATTCACATTAAATTGAATGAAAATGTCATCAGTTGTCATGCACTAAAATCTAAAAAAGAAATGCTGAAAGTTCTATCTAAAACTTGGTTGAAATTTTTCCCCAAAGTAAATATGATTCTTTTATACAGCAATCACTTCATGACTAACTGCAAAAATGTGTGGTCTGTGTGCATGTGTGTGTGTGTGTGTGTGTGTGTGTGTGTGTGTGTACACAATAAAATTAAACATTATGGTGTTATCCTTCTGTTAGGGTGTTGACAAAGTGACCATCATACACAAGAAAACTTAGTGAGACACAATGAGCAAAACATGGGATGCCCCATGTTTACTAATGCCAGTGGATATAATCATTATATGTATTGCCCCTGGTCACTGTGTATGATGAAATATATAGGGAACTGTGCATTGTACTCTCATTTTTGTTTCTGATTTGTCTTATTTGGTACATTTATTTTAAAGTATTGCTGGTTGATATCCAGTATATTGGTTTTATTATTCACTACTTAGTTGCAACTTGCAGTTTGAAAACAATTGTCCAAACAAAATTGAGTCATCTGCTTTGGGAGAATGAGAGTAGGTACCTCCTGTGGGTAGTGATGACCCAGAATAGTGCCCTCCTTGCTTTGACATGGGTAGGACAGGTACAGTCCGTGTGCCAACACCCACAGCACTCAACAGAGCCTGCTGTGCTTGGGGCACCTGCAAGACCTTGGTCCAGGGTTTGCTCCTGTGCTCAGGGAAGAGGCTTGCTTGGGGGAAATGGACGTGATTAGTAGGCGAAACCCATTCCAAAGAACTATATTAACAACCCAAGATTTTATTTAAAAATCTGATTAAGAAGTCAGGTGTCATCAGAAATGACAGGAAAATAGCCCAAATGATGTGCCCAGATGGAGTCATTTTTATTCAACCACCTCAGCGCATAGCAAGCCGTCTGGTCTGAAAATCCATGTTTTTACTTGGTTTGTTGTGTTTTCATTCACTATTTCCTTATCCACTCTCTTTTATATCTCTTTTCTCTCTTTCTGGAGCTTCTATTGGACGAATGCCATATATGTCTCTATGACTGTGAGTAAAGTGTTAGCCAAACCCTTCTCCTTCTGAATCTCATTTCTCATGTCATCTGTGTGCTTTTTTAAAGGAAACCTTGTATGTGTGGAATGAACCTAAATGGTGCATTAAAGGAGTTTCTTTGCCTGAGAAAAAGTTGTCAACCTGCGAAACGGTTGACTTTTGGCTGAAAGTGGGAGCAGGTGTAGGAGCTTTCACAGCTGTTTTGCTGGTGGCTCTAACTTGCTACTTCTGGAAAAAGAATCAGAAGTAAGTAATCTCATTGGAATGATCATATATGAACTGAAAGATCTATTTTGTTGTGAAAAACTTAAACTTAATTATTACTATACCCAGTAGTTTCTTTCAAAGACAACAGAAATTTATCCCAGTGAAGGAGTTATAGGAAAGGCCTTTAAGGAAGCAAGTGGAAATGATTATTATTCTGATAAAGAGAGATTATAGGATATTAAATATTATTGAATTAGATTCATTTATTATAAAACAAAGAAAAATGGGAGGGTCTAGTTACCCAGCTAGATGAAAGCAGAGCTCAGGTTGGAAGACAGGTTTTCTCTCTGTGTCTGTTTTCCTTTCATGACAACACAGTGTCTTCTTGTCCCCCTTTTTCAATTTTTTTTGTGGGCAGATATTTGTGATGAATCAGACTAAGTATATAGGCTAATATTACCTCTATTTGTTCCAGGACTGTAAGAATCTGGAGTTGGATATTGAGTCGAACTCCTGATTGTATAGATCTGTTATCTGATTTGACTCTCTTAAAATGATTTACGTGTCAGTGGGGCTGTGAAAGTTCTATGTTGTAATATCTCAGGACAATTGTAATACGTGGGGTGGTGAATAGAAAGGAATGAGTGATTTATAGAAGAAGTAAAGACCGTATCAGTCACCAATATGGTATTCTCATCCTTCTAAACTAAACTTTGAGAAACCATACAGCAAATTAGCTTAAAATATGTATAAATTAAGAAAATACATTTAGACCTCTAGATTTTTGTTTGTTTTTCAGAAGTTCTTCAAAATTGGACAGTTGAGTCAATATGAAGTAAATGAAAGAGTTAAGTGTATTGCACTGATTCTCTGAAATCCTGGAAATGATCTGTGTGTAGATGGTAGATAAATGAGAACACATGGTGGTATACCCATAGGTGGGGAAATTGTGTCGGTAGAACAACTACACTGTAAGACAATTTAGCAATGGTATGTGGCTACCTAAAATAAGTATTAATTTATATTAAACAGCCACTTTATTTATCTATCTATTTATTTACCACTACTTAGACTGGAGTACAAATATTCCAAATTAGTAATGACGACTAACTCAAAAGAGTGTGAACTCCCAGCTGCAGACAGTTGTGCTATCATGGAAGGAGAAGATAATGAAGAGGAAGTTGTATATTCCAATAAACAGTCACTACTGAGAAAACTCAAATCCTTGGCAACAAAGGTGAGAGCTGAATTTTAACCTGATATTACTGTGCATTTATAAATTAGGGGCCGTATTAACCTAATAGTAGCATTCACGCAAGCCCTGTCATCCAGCATGCCTATATCTCTGTGGGTACGTATTCAACAAAATGCTCTTAGAAGTACGCAGGGATATAAAACATAGAAGAATATTTACTACAACATTGATTTTGCTGGTTAACAAAGTAGAAACAACCTTATACACCATGAATAAGGAGTTAGATAAGAAGTGTCCATATATCAAAGCCATGGAATCCAGAGCAACTTTGCAGCTGTTGAAAATGGAGATATCTATGTCAATAAGTCCAAGATAAAGTGAAAACATGTAGGCTATCACATTTCTATTAAATATACACTTACGTTAGCATTTATATAGCAAACTATTAACAGTAGTCATTTTTTTGGGAGTCTTGAATTAATGGGAGCCTTTAGTCTTTGAAGTAATATCTCTTTGGAGTATTTGAATTTTCATAGATAATGTATCATTTTATACTATTAAAAATTTGGCATTAATAAAAGATCTCATATTCATTTATACTTTCTTGGTTTTTGTTTTATCACAAGATTGATTTACATGGAAGAGATAATAGTTATATTTCTGTTGAGGCATTAAAGCTACCAGCAGGTGCCATCACGTTTATTGGCTTTAAAGTGACTATGGTACCCAGATAACATTAAGACTTAAATATGATTTGTAAACACATTGTAGTGACATTCTTCACCATTGACTTAAAGTTTGAGAAATTACCAGTTTACTCACTCAGTATTAAAAATAGAATGAAACAGAAGAAAGTATGTCTCAATTTTCAGCAGGAAGGACAAGTGGCAAAAGATTGCATTTATTGAGGGTGTTTTAGTAACCATTTCCTTTTACTCTCCTAATTTGAGCACATAAGATCATTTAAAAATAAAATAAGTAAGCTGAGTTCCCCTTCTACTAATACTTAACTTTTTCAGTATGATAGTTCAGGCAGGGTGCTGTTGCTGGGGATAACCAATGTACGGTGCTTGTCAAGAACTGAGCTTTTAGTGAACCTGCAAGCTAATGAGTGAGCCACACTTTCACGAGCACTGAGAAGGCAGGAGGCTCCTGGTCAGAGACAAAGGACCATTTAGCACTCGCAGCAGAAGCATTAGGCAGAGTATCAGTATTTATGCCAGTTCCCAAAGCCCCACTTCCCACAGGGCTATGTGAACAGGAACAGATGAGACTTGTACACTCAGTGGATGGCATTACAGGAAAGGAACCTGAAGCTTTGGGGACCTGAATCTTTCAGGATAGGAAGAAAGCATGCCTATTCTGTGCTCCAATGGGAGGTACTGTCGTCATTGTGCTAGACAGGTGGTGTGTGTATTCACTGCTCCAGAGGGAGACACTATTTCCAGGACTGTAAGCAGGCCTGCACTTTGCTCTGGAAGGAGACTGTATCTTCCAAGGCTGCTGTCTATACAAAGTTCCTTGAAAAGGTAGTCTAGAACAAAGGTCTCAATCATAAAATGTACAGAAATGCAAAAAAACCATGGAGAATTGTCTCCCAATAATATCTGAACCTTGTTTCTACACTAGCCTGGCCCCTGGTGAATTTTCCCATTAATGTGCCCCTCTACCCACCACTCTGATTAATCTAACTGACTGAGGCTGGCATCAGATCTGGTCAATTAGCTGCATATGGTATTTAAATAAAGCTGCTACCTAGAGGACACCACAAACAGCAAGATGAGACCAACCTGCATTATTAACCAACCATACCCCAGGGTCCCAGACCCAGCTAGCTGAATAAATCCCATAAACCATCAGGCTCCACTTTTGAAAGATAGGTGGCTTTGTCTTTAGTCCTTGTATTGATCTTTCCATGGGCACTGAGGTCTTTCCTCCATAAGATTCAGGTGGAAAAGGTTCATTTTCAAAAATTTACAAAGATCCAGTACATCTTTCACTTTTGTCTACATGGGCCATGGTAGGGGAACTTGGTGGGCAGTGCACCCACCTACATGGTCATTGTCTTTTTGATGTACGATAGTGACCGTCCGGATCCAGCAGAATGTATTAGTGATTGCACAGACCTTGTCTTGACCCTCAAGGAGGAAGCATAGAGCAGTCATATCATCTGTAACTCTGTATGGACAGTGAGTTGATGGTGACTTGAATGTCTTCAAAGGCTGATGTGATATCATTCATTACTTCAGCTAAAGTCAGAGACAAATTTCATATCACCTTTCCTAATTAAATAACTACCCAGAGGGTAAATGTGAAACACAAGTCAGTTACACGAACTGTTGTATGTTATCTGAACCTCCAGAAACGTCCTCTGAGTAACCAGTGGTAGTCTCATTTTGAAAAGATGCTTACAGTTGTCTAAAAGCTACATGATCTATTGGGGACCTTTCCATAAACAGTTGAACTGTGATCACTTCTGACCACTCACAGAGTGCAAGTGAAAGCTACTATGTTTTTAGGAGAGAAGCTTATGCCTGTACTTCTACACAAGAAGTACAGTCCTTAAGGTACTTATGGTGCCTCTGGAAAGAAAGTATCATTTACAATTGTTGGGGGCACCAAGTGGGTCCTACGTTAGACAGCATGTGTTGATGGTGCCTGTAACCTCCTTATTGGCTAGTAAACCTTAGTGTTCCCAACTCACCTCAAATAATTCTGTCTTTTCTTGGTCTTTGGGGAGACTGCTTGAGGGTAATTATTCTAACTTTTTCTGTTTGTCCATACCTCAAACTGGTTGGTACTTGTTCACTCCATGGAATGATTGATTAAAGGCAATAGAAATGGAGGTGTTGATTGTTGTTATTTGGGGGCAAATGCTAGGGCCATTTCCTGTTTCTGATAGATTTCTCAGTAAGTTTAAGGGGAATGGCAACCAATTTGTGGTTAGAACATCTAGTGGGTATAGTAGACCCCATAGTAAGTTAAAGTTAAGGCATTTGTTTGAGAGAGAAACCCCAAAGCATTTCCCTTCACAGGAAGGTGATATGGTGGCTCTGATGAATGAATGAGCATTAATGTGCCTCCGTCCTTTGTACCTCTCTGGGTCTAAGGTTTCTCTTCCCCAGGTACCTCTTTATCAGACTGCATTATTGATCTCCTTCCACTACTACAAAATCAGTTTGTCCCATTTCAGTAGCTCAAACTTCACCTTATTTCTACTCACCTCCTACTGGCACCTCACTTATGCTCCAGAACATTCAGGTACAAGAGGGACAAGGGCATTTAAAAAAACTTTCGGAGACTCAGTATGTCTTTCACCTTTGTGCATGTGGTGATCTTGATGAGCTGTGTGGTCAACCAAGTGGTTATTCTTTTTATATAGAAAGAAACAAACACTATAGGTGGCTAAACCAGAATTGTATTTGAATCTCCTAGGCTTTTTTCTGTCATAGCTACCACCAACAATCCTGTGGGTTGCTTTTGGGGTAAATAAAGACACACTTTTTTTTTTTGGTATCATTAATATACACTTACATGAGCAACACTGTGGTTACTAGATTCCCCACATTATCAAGTCTCCACCACATACCCCATTACAGTCACTGTCCACCAGCATAGTAAGATGCTATAGAATCACTACTTGTCTTCTTTGTGTTATACTGCCTTCGCTGTGCCCCCTCCTACATTATGTGTGCTAATCATAATGCCTCTTTTCCTCCTTTCCCCTTCTTCCCACCAATCCTCCCCAGTCTCTTTCCCTTTGGTAACTGTTAGTCCATTCTTGGGTTCTGTGAGTTTGCTGCTGTTTTGTTCCTTCAGTTTTTGCTTTGTTCTTATACTCCACAGATGAGTGAAATCATCTGATACTTGTCTTTCTCTGCCTGGCTTATCTCACTGAGCATAATACACTCTAGCTCCATCTGTGTTGTTGCAAATGGTAGGATTTTTTTTCTTCCTATGGCTGAATAATATTCCATAGTGTATATGTACCACATCTTCTTTATCCATTCATCTACTGATGAACACATAAGTTGCTTCCATTTCTTGGCTATTGTAAATAGTGCTGTGATAAACATAGGGGTGCATATGTCTTTTTCAAACTGGGCTGCTGCATTCTTAGGGTAAATTCCTAGGAGTGGAATTCCTGGGTCAAATGATATTTCTATTCTTAGTTTTTTGAGGAACCTTCGTACTGCTTTCCACAGTGGTTGAACTAGTTTACATTCCCACCAGCAGTGTAGGAGGGCTCCCCTTTTTCCACATCCTTGACAACATTTGCTGTGGTTTGTCTTTTGGATGGTAGCCATCCTAACTGGTGTGAGGTGATATCTCATTGTGGTTTTAATTTGCATTTCTTTGATGATTAGTGATGTGGAGCATCTGTTCATGTGCCTGTTGGCCATCTGAATTTCTTCTTTAGGGAAGTGTCTGTTCAGATACTCTACCCATTTTTTAATTGGATTATTTGCTTTTTGTTTGTTGAGGTGAGTGAGCTCTTTGTGTATTTTGGATGTCAGTCCCTTATCGGACATGTCACTTATGAATTTATTCCCCCATACCGTAGGATGCCTTTTTGTTCTACTGATGGTATCCTTTGCTGTAGAGAAGCTTTTTAGTTTGATATAGTTCCACGTGTTCATTTTTGCTTTTGTTTCCCTTGCCTATGGAGATATGTTCATGAAGAAGTTGTTCATGTTTATATTCAAGAGAGTTTTGCCTATGTTTTCTCCTAAGAGTTTTACAGTTTCATGTCTTACATTCAGGTCTTTGGATACACCTTTTTGAGTCAAGCTTTGAGGAGGTCATTCCAGTGCTCAGTAATATCTATCAACAGTAGGAAGTGTGGACAGTCCATTGAATGCCTCTACTTGTAGCCCATTTTCAGATAGCTTGTGTGATACAAAGGACACTATTAGGCTGGAAATATCCATGAAGCCCCAGACATCAAATAATGTTTTTTTAAGAGCCACATTGGCATGGCTGGAGTTAGCTGATCCTAGCTAACTTAACTGATGAGACTGGAGCAGAACAGATTGGCCTGA